AATACACTTCATTATTTTTTCTTAATCCTCCCTCTTTTTAAGTTAAGATTGGGAGTTGTTAAAAACTCCGAGTAGCAGCTAGGCACGTAGCTGTGGACAGCCGCAGGGATACCACAATAAACCAGAGTGTAGGGCTGGGACTGGCTTGGTTTGATTTTCCAGGTCTAGTGCTCACATTTTGGGTTGTCCCTCTTATAAGGCAGAGATCTGTTTGGATCCCCACCACAGATGTGGCTCTTAGCTATGTTGTTGGTAGGTGAGGCGTGTGTCATCAGACCTGTGTTGACTGCCTGAAGCTCTGGATCCCGCCCCTAACACAACAGACAGGCAAGGCAATATCCCAGTCATATGTATTTTTTTCTTTATAATTATTTCCTATGGCTAGGCATAGTAACATATACCTGTTATCCCAGGGCTCAGCACTCAGAGACAAGTTTGAGGCCAGCTTGGTATACATAGTGAGTTCCAGACCAACCAGGGATACATGGAGAGACCCTGCATCACACACACACACACACACACACACACACACACACACAGAGAGAGAGAGAGAGAGAGAGAGAGAGAGAGAGAGAGAGAGAGAGAGACTACCTTGGTGGGCTGGGACAATAATATCTCAGACAATAAAGTGTTTGCCACACAGCATGAAGTTCTGAGTGTGAGTTCCCAGAACCCACTTTATAAAAGCAGGACAGGGTCTTACCCCAGTGCTGTTGGGGACCTGTGGGTCCCTAGGCAGCCATTCTAGCCAACCAGTGAGTTCCAGTTTCACTGAAAGACCCCACTTAAAAACCAATGTGGAGAGCAGCGAAGACACCCCCATTGCCCTCTGGCCTCCACATGCACGATTACTTTGGGACGCGCACCCAGGAGTTACCATGGTAACTTTTAAGTCAATGCTGAGATTTTAGTAGACTTGTTTTGGCTGGTTTTAAAGTTAGTGCTCTAAGATTGTCCCTGCCTCGCTTCAGTCATTGCTAAGGGCTCTGTCGTCCCTGTGGAAGAATCAGCGGAGCCTGGTGTACTGAGTGTCCCAGATCTTCCCCTGCTTCTGAGTCCTTCAGAAGTCACCTCTGTGGGACTTAGCGTAGTCCTGTGGACTGGCTTCAATCACTTCATAAGGTAGAGCCTTCCAACCCAAACAGCTCCAGATTGCACCACCCTCAACAGTCACATCAGGGATCACATTTCAGTGTGAGTTTGTAGGAGACAAATTACAGTATTCGGCCCACAGCATCCCTTGTAAAGTCACCCACTCTAATCAAAATACAGACATTTCTCTGCCCTAAAGCTTCCTTCTGCGCCTTTACAATCCGATTCAGGTATGTGTCAACACAAATACTGTGCCTCTCCAAACATAGGGACATTTGTTTATGGCTTTGTGTTTGTGTGTGGTATATGTACATGTGTGTGCACAGAGTTGTGGAGGCCAGAGTTAGACACTGGGTGTCCTGCCTTGATTGCGCCTCAACTTTGGTTTTTTGGTCTTGAAGTGAACTTGAAGCTTAGGATCCCCTGTGCCTTCTCCTATGCTGAGCCCAGCTTTTTTTTTTTCTTTTTGTGGATTCTGGGGATCCAAACTCGGGCTCTTACGCTAATATGGCAGGTATTTGACTGAACAAGTCATCTCCCTAGACCCGCAAGAATGTTTTGACCAGCTGGGCAGTGGTGGCACACGCGTTTAATCCCAGCAGGATTAAAGGGAGGCAAAGGCAGGTGGATCTCTATGAGTTCGAGACCAGCCTGGTCTACTCAGCAAGTTCCTGGCCATCCAGGGCTATATAGTGTGACATTGTCTGACCAAGATAAAGAAAACATGAAGAGTGGAGGGATGGCTCAGTGGTTAAGACCACTTGCTGTGCAATAGTGAGGACCTGAGTTCAGATCCCAACACCTACATGAAAATCTAGATGGTCACACATACATATGTCACCCCAGTGACACAGGACAGGTCACACATGTGCCTGTCACCCCAGTGCTGGCAACTGGAGGGTTGCTGGGGTTTGCAGGCCACAGCCTAGTGCTCCATATTTAGTCAGTGACCTTGTCTCAAGAGAATGAGGTGAGGAGTGATAGAGCAGGGCACTCAGTGTCCTCTGGACTTTGTGTATGTACGTAGATTCCTGCACGTAAACATATAGATCACATTTACACACACACACACACACACACACACACACACACACACACACGCACACACACGCGAAAACATGAACATTCTAATGAGGGTAAAACTGTATGTGAAAATTCCAGTGGGGCTGGGTGTGATGGTGCCTGCCTGTAACCCTAACACTTGGGCAGTAGAGACAAGAGGATCAGGGTCATCCTTAGCTACATAGTGAGTTCAAGGCTAGCCTAGGCTACATGAGACCATGTCTCATATAAAAATTAAACGAAATTTCTGTATATCAGTCAAAACTGTTTTCCTTTGTGTAAAGATCGATATTTGAATCATTAATATTTCTGAGGCAAATTTTGTTTTCAAAATTGTATGGTGAGGCAGCTGCAAATATAGCTTCCATTCTATGGTGTCATGTGATATAATAAAGCAGTGTTGACAGGCTTGGGACACCCTGTGTGGTTTGAGTGTGTCCCCTGAAGACTGTGCTAGAAGTTTGTCTCTAGGGTGGCGATGTTGACTGAGGGTAGAGACTTTAAGGTTGGACCTGATGCAGAGTCATACATAAATCCCAGATTTATTGTTTAGCCAGCCAGGGAATACTTTCTATGCAGACTATAAATTCAGGTGAGTGAAGGTTTGGAAGGAAAAACAATCAATGGGCATATGTTGGATTGAGATGTCTAGAATCCGTGAGCGGAAATGTCTGCTAGTTCAGTGTACAGACCTAGAGATCTGGACTGAACTGCTCATTAGCATTCAGTGACACTTCACTAAAGAAAAGAGATTCAGGAGCTGGAGAGATGGCTCAGGGGCTAAAAGTACTTGCTGCTCTTGCAGAGAGGCCCAAGTTTAGTTCCCAAGCACACACTTCAAGCAGCTCACAACTGCTTGTAACTCCAGCTCCAGGGGGGATCCAACACCTTTGGCATCCTCAGGCACCTACACTCACAAATACTACCCATGGGCACACACAAATATACATAATTTAAAATAATAAAAAGAAATATTTAAGAAATAGCTCCAGAACCTTCCAGTAGCAGCTTTGGGACAAAGGTGAGTCCTAGTTCTGTCTGGGCACTCTCTGATGCCTAGACCAGACGAGGTCCTCCTGATTTGGGTTCCATTAGAGCAAGATACTTGTCTTTGCAAAATACCCATCACTGGGCTGGGAGATGACTAGTGGATGAAGCGCTTCCCATGCAATCAGGAGAACCTGAGTTATGACCCCTAGAAACTGAGGCAGGAGGATGTCTGTGGGTTTGAGGCCAGCCTGGTCTACATAACGAGTCCCTGTTTCCATATAAGAGAACAATTGAGGAAGACATCAATGTCAACTTCTATCACACACACACACACACACACACACACACACACACACACACACACACACATAGAGAGAGACAGAGAGACAGAGAGACAGAGAGACAGAGACAGAGACAGAGAGACACAGAGAGACACAGAGAGAGAGAGCCCAAAATAAAACACTGTCATACGGGCTAGGAATTACCC